AAAAAAATCACATTATCATTTGGAGAAAATAATCGAATTTCTCAGAAATGTCTGGGCTTACACGCAATAACACTCGTGTTTACGCGTTTATTATTGTTTTTACAAAAATTTGAACTACGTCTCCAAATAAATCACTTATTTTCTTATTAAGTTGTCTGCGCTTCCTTTGCGGTACAGCGAGCCTATTAGCAGCTTCAGTGAGCTTAATTAGCACAAAAATGAAGTAGCGAAATCGTTTCCAAGCTTTAAAGCTTCCCTAGACTATTTAAGTGCAAGCTTAGCTTGCGAGCGGCTTAATTGTATACTGTGAACGTTCAAATCGAAGTAAAATTTTGTAGCGGAAAGAACTGAATAGTCGAGCGGCCCAGCAATAAAACACTTTGCGGCACGATGCGATCGCTCTCATTTTTTGCTGTAAGTTTCTTTAATTTAGTTTATTGATATGGAACTTGAATAAAATTAAATTTATTTTATTCATTTATAGGTAATCTGCTTTCTTGTAGTAATTAATTATACTTATGCAGCACCTATCGAATTATTTCCCGGTTTCTTAAGAAATATCAATATAAACACACCTGATAAAACCGATGATATTGTCAAACGACGTGTTTACGAAGAAAATCCCGATGCTGAATTAAAGCAAATTTCTTTACAATCTCTCATTGGTGATTTGGAAGATAGTTTATTCCAATCTGCTTTAAGTGTCAGCAGTTTTGCGGGTAGTGATGATGCCGCAGTCGAAGAGGTAACACCAAAAAGTGACGAGCACACCGTCAACAAACGCAGTACAGACGATAAACCAGTAGATGCTGATAAGCCAACTACTCCAATTCCACAAGATATCGCTGTTGCTAAATCTCTAGCATCAGACGAGATCATACCAATTTTACAACATACACAAAAAGTACCAGAGAAAGAGGGTGTACCAGCACATATAATAATTGATCGTATATCAATACAGCCACATCATGGCAGCTTGCCACTTATACCAGCTTTTCAAGTGCAACACACAAAAGTGAAGGCAGCCGCTATCACTGAAGATGGTTCGAAAGTTGAGAATGTGAAAGTAACGAAAATCAGTTTCAGTGATGCCAGCGCTTTAACATCCACAACGGAGAAGAGCGTCGAAATTAGTCAGAATGCTGAAACCACAAGCAAACCTGCAGTTACCTCAGATACAACCCCGAAAGTAATAGTTACTTCTACTGGTGGTATAACTGGTACTGTGACCACTCAACACGTGGAATCAACAGTTTTATTAGCTGTCAGCACAACGCCAACCCCAACGCCAGCAATTAATGGTGATGAAAAAATCGCAAGTTCTCCAGCAAGCGATATAAATACATCCACTTCAGTGGTGACGGCCATCTCTAGTTCAGCTCCAACTCAGGCGCCAATCAAGGAGCTTAAAGAAGCTGAAAAGGAACTAAAGGAAAAGGTTGCAGAAATTGAAGCTGAGCCAGTCATACTTTCATCAAGAGTTTAAGTGTTGCCTTCGATTTTTTATATTGTGTTTTTTTTATATTTATTCATCAATTTTATTTTAAGGCGCTAATTTTATTATACTCAATGCTGTCACTTTTGTATATTTGTACTTGTGAAAAGATATGTGAATATCGAAATCATGTGATGCGATCAAACTTATTATATTATTAAAAAAAACTCGCTAACAAATTGAAAAAATAAATCTCACGCTACATTGAAAAAAAAATCATATTTATTTTTTTTTAACAAATTTTTCAACAGTAGCTCAGATATTAATTGACATACAAAGTGCAAAATAAACAATAAAAATTTCTAAGTTTCCAATGCTATTTTTGGTCAACTCCCGTCGCTGTGTACCGAGTTTGGAACTTAACCAGGCGTGAATTCTACTTCATGAGCTCAAATCGCACAATATTTTTTAACAATAAAATTGCGAATATCTGTTAATTTTAAAATTCATTTGAACTTGACCAAGTCAACACCACGAACACAGAGTTTAAATACGTTATCGATATTACTATTAACATAAACCTTCTATACTCGTCAATTATTCTGTTTAGGTACTTCATCGCGATTGTTACTGTAATAAATCCGGTACGCATCGTAATTTGCGTATAAACGCTACAAAGATAGGGAGTGCCCAGAGTTAGTACTTAAAATATATGCAAACATAATGATTGCTCTTCTCTAATATTTATGTTATACCGCAGTGTTTTTTATACATTAAAATATTCTTTATATTTTATAGCTTATATCTTATATCTTTATATTTATAAGAAACAAAAATGATTTTTTTTCTGATTCAAAATTAGCTCTGTTATAAGCAAAGTTGTAAGAGCAACGGTAAGACTTGGTAAACAGATCTAAATATTAACTAATATTGCTTTCGATTGGTACATCTGGATTTGATTTAGATTTACACTTGATCTATCAAATTTTGTTGTCCAATCGAACATTTTTAGAGTAATCTAACATTTTTGTTATGTTGAGGCTAGTTGAGTTGAGTCAGTGCACCTGAGCACTTTTACTCTCTATTAACTGCGTGGTTTCTACAAAACCCCTCTTTGCGCCTTGACTGGATTATTGTTTATCACTTCATCAGGCTAAGCAATAACTGACCTCAGATCTGCATATCTCCCCGAGGAGCCTGTAACCATTCTAAGATTTGATAACGCGGTGTTAGTAAGTCTGTCAGATTTCGCAAATAATTTCAGGACTCTATCCTTTATGTATTTTTTTATGGGACCAATCTTGAGGTCCCTGAAGATGTCATTCGTAAATAGTAAATATTTATATATTATTTTCATAAATTTATAACATACATTAAGACTGAAAAGTTTTCGGAAATTCTCATTTAAAATTCGCGCGCTGTATATTTTTCGATATTTTAAGTTTATGTAGTTTGGCAGCACTGTCCTTAATTACTATGCCAAAAATGAGCGCGATCTGTCAGACAGTTCGTTTACGGCAGCTGTTGAAACCAGTTCACCTCAGTAGTGCGTTGCGAAATGTCTTCGACGGTCGTACGACCGTCCTGAAAGGCTTTGTACCACTCATAAACTTGAGTTTTCGATAAAACTGATTCCCCATAAGCCTTTTGTAGCATTCGCAACGATTCTGCACACGAAATTTCGTTCGAAACACAAAATTTGATGCAAACTCTTTGTTCAATATTTTTTTCCATTGTTTTTTTCGCAACGCACTACTGAGGTGAACTGGTTTCAACAGCTGCCGTAAACGAACTGTCTGACAGATCGCGCTCATTTTTGGCATAGTAATTGTCCTTAATTTCTGCCAAACTACATAAACTTAAAATATCGAAAAATATACAGCGCGCGAATTTTAAATGAGAATTTCCGAAAACTTTTCGGTCTTAATGTATAACGAAAAAATTCACATTTTATTTGTTAAGTCATATAAAACAGTTGTTAATTTCAGAGTAATCTAGTTACTCTGACAACATATCTAGAGTGTAATAAATTAATCTCGAGTGTTATACATTTCGCTCCAGATTTAACAATCAAAAGTGAAAATTGCACAAAAAGCGAATCTCGATTTATCAATGAAAAACGGTTAACTATAGTACTGGATACAGAACATTACTCTGAGAGACGTCTCTTGTTTTAATGCTTCTACAGATTCGATCTCCAAGTCCCGATGGAGACCCGTATTCCTAATGAACCACGGAGCGTTGACTAAATTTCTTAGGACTTTGTTTTAGAAATTTTGGATGATTTGAATGAACGATTTTGGTACACAACCCCATAACTGGATTTCATACGTCCATACCGGAGCTAAGGCTTGCGAGTATATCACTAATTTGCTGCTTAGAGAGACGGGTTGCAATATAATTTTTTATATTTTGATTCTAGCTCAATTCGTTTTTTCTTTATATGTTTATATTTTCTTTCCATGTCAACTTTACATATAAGTTCATGTCATGGTATTTAGCTGTATTTAAGTGTGGTATTCGAGCTCTGGACATAGTTATCAACAAATAGACGATTTTTTTATTTGAGAGATTTATATGGATGAATTTCTTTTCCTTCATCTTAATTTTCCATTTTTTAGTCCAACTTATAATTTGATTAATGGAATGTTTCGTTACTTCTGTTGATTCCTATGTGGTATTTCCAGTAGTAAGGATTGCTGTATTATCTGCAAAAGTTGCAATGACGATTTTTG